GTACATGACATCACAAGGTGGAACAGAGAATTCTGAGCTTTGTAAAGAATAGCTCAAACATGTGTGAATGAAACAAAACACAATTCCAGGTCTGTTTTTGCTCCTGAAAGGATGTGTGAAATGCAGAGGAATATTTTACAGGGATTACAGTGATAAGTACTACAAAAAAACAAAAAAACATGGAAAAGAACATGGCTTAACAAGAGTCAGTTTTGTGTAATAAAGGACCTGTAAACATGGAGGTGCACGTGTTGGTGTGTACCTTGACAGTGACTCCTGGGTCTCCTCCACTGCGTGACACAGTCAGTTTGAGTGATCCACAGTTTTCAAAGCACTGGTACAGCGCAGGCTCAAAGTCCAGACGCACCGTGTGGGGGTCATCCTCCTGGGCCTGGGTCTCCTGGCTGCTCACCACCTGAAACACACACATACACACACACACATACACAAACACACACGCTCAGGGAGAGGACGGGTTCTAAGTGCTATTTATACTAATGCTTTTTTTATTATAAAAATGAATTATTACATACAGTTATATCAAATTTTAAAAAGCATAAATCTAAATTGGATCAATCCACTTGAGATCAGCAAAGCTAAGCTTGGGGTTTAGCTCAGAGAAATATATTGGACTATTCTTTTGTGTTGAACAGTACAAGAATAAACATGTTTTGGATATGTTCTTAAAATCAATCATTGAAAACAATATTTACAATATTTATTTTTATTTTAGCAAGTAACAATTAAAGAGAAAAATCATGACAGTCGCCCACAAAATCAAATGGCACAGGGGTTGTAGTGAATCTACACAACAGCTTTTCCTCTGAAATGTTTTATGAGACGAGAGCCACAGACTGTTTTTCTGTGGCTCCGAGCACACGAGGTCGGTGCTTTGTCATAGTCTGATCGGAGCCAACAGCCCTGAGCCTGTGGAGTGTAAAAGACGAGAGGATGTAGGAGAGCAGAGGGGGGTAGGACAACAGAGGGGTGTAGGACAACAGAGGGGGGTAGGACAACAGAGCGGTGTAGGACAACAGAGGGGTGTAGGAGGGCAGAGAGAGGTGGGGGTGTAGGGGGCAGAGAGAGGTGGGGGTGTAGGGGGGCAGAGAGAGGTGGGGGTGTAGGGAGCAGAGAGAGGTGGGGTGTAGGGGGGCAGAGAGAGGTGGGGTGTAGGGGGGCAGAGAGAGTGGGGGTGTAGGGGGCAGAGAGAGGTGGGGGTGTAGGGGGGCAGAGGAGTGTAGGTGAGTGGGAATTACCTTCCTCGCCTGGTCTGCTGCATGCTTCTTGAGGATGTTCCCTGCACCGATCATCATCCTGGTGGCCTGGATCCGGTAGAAGGCACGACTCTTCTGCTGCTGCATCAACACCTGAACAGTCGAGAGAGCAGTCACAGACTGGACAAAGATATGTGCAAACAGTGGTGAATGGATTTAACTAAAACAGTCAGGATGTTTCTACTCTGTCCTGTCCAACAACATTAGCACTGGCAATGCAGTGCAAAGAAACCCATAAGAAAAGGTTTTAAAGGTCCTATATTACACAACACTGAAACATTGTTACCATATCTGAAGTTGTGGTTTGTATTCACACACTTTCACACATTTGAGTAACCGATTAATATTAGTATGTCTACATTTCCAAAGCTCAAAATGCTCTGTTCCACCTTGTGTTGCAGTAGATATAATTTAAACACCTGTTTAAAGTTTAAAAGTTTAAAAATACAGCGAGTACTCTACTGTGTTTTGAAACTTCATACACATTTACATAGTAATGCATAGTGGCACTTTGTAAGCAAGCTAAATGCACGCCAGTCCTACTAGTCTGAATAAGTGTGTTTGAGAGATACATTGAGTGCACTGTGCAGGAGTCATAAAGGAGTGAGAGGATGAAGTGAGGTTTGCTTTTGTGACTGCTGTTCTGGTTTTGGCTGCTACTGCTTTTATTCATACCATAAATAACTGTACTGAATTATAAATTCAGATTTCATTAGTTTAGATGCGTGAGTGCACGGCCAAACCATTCCCTGTCGAACTAGTAAACCTAGAGGAAACACTGCAGACTAAATAAAGTTACTTAAACATGTGTGAATGAAACAAAACACAACTTTATCTGGGGCTTCAGAAGAATTATCGTCTATTTTTAACTCAGCTGATACCCAGACACTCCATGTCTCCTCACATTTGTCAGCTATTATGAATGATTCAAGTGAAAAGGTATTTTTTATGAACCTACCATCAAATAAACTGAAATCAAAATGCAGTAACACTTTTGAAGATGATTAGATTCAACTTGGGTCCAATTTATTTCCCACAGTGTGTGCTCTGTGCTTGGAGTAATGGGGCCTAATGGCTTCATTTAATACTTATGGAAGTCAATAAACGCCAGGTCCCATGGAGAGCAGATAAGCAGTAAGCAGTTTTTTTTTTCAGGCATTTACTGCCCACAATAAGCATGTTAGCCGTTAGCAAGGAGCTAACTACATGAGGGCAAAGCAGAGGTCCACACTGCAGAGAAAAAAGAGAGCCAGTGTCTCTTTATGTCCACTAGAGGGTCAACTCGATTAACCGAAACCCGATTAATCTGAGCACAGTGCAAACTACTGTTGTGCCAGAGTGTGGGCACACTTACTAACCTAGCATAGAGCACTTACCGGGCTACAGAGCAGCTGCACCACATGGAACTGCAATGTGAAAGCATTTCATAGACATATTCATCTGAAGCCATGTAAGAGCTGTAGGAAGAACTAACAAAGCAAAACAAAACTGGAATGAAAAAGCTTTTGAAATACGAGCAGTGAAAGCTCCAATAGTGAGTGAGATGACCGACATGAATGTGCACGTGTTACAGTTACATACAGTTTAGACGCTGATGTCTAATTGTCGGAGTAGGCATAAACATTATTTTTCAAGCGTCCCACTATTTCAACTTTTTTTTTTTCCATTTTGGAGTAGTAGCACTTTACTAATTTTCAAACATTCTGCTTTTCCGACATGAACAACATTAATGCGAGAGCCTATTATACTTTGCGCTTCCATATATCATAAGATGCTTGGGCTGGTGCAAAGCTCTTGATCAGAGAATACTTCAGCCAGACAGTGGGAAATTTCCTAAGTGATCACCGTAAGAAACAGTCATGCATTTTAAAAAAGAGCATCGGCTAGCCTTCCGGAAAATATCTAATTTAAACGGAGGCTGCATGGGCCCTTTGTACATCATATAGCCTAAATAAATAACCAATCAAGTTCCAGCTTGTACCAGCATTGAGACGACACTCTCACAGCCCAAAACACACATTTGACACTTATATATGACCATGAAATTTGATTCTATACACATTAGGCTCCTATTTCTTTTGGCCAAATCAATTCCATCGAGGTGGCTGCTGGCCAAGCTTGGCTATGCATTGCAATTTGGACACTCCACCGAACCACACCTGAACAGATTAGAAACTTCGCCTGCAACTCTGTGGCAGGATGTAAAAGCGAGATATTAGGCTGATCGAAGGGGGCAACAGGGCTGTAGGCAAACGTTTAGACCTAAGGATGTCTGTCTCACATAGGCTAATTATATTTGGAAGAAAATAACTGGAATGTTTTGCATGAGGCATTTTTTTTTTCTAGGTGCGGAGGTCTGGATTTCCACACGAGCAGTACAGCCTATATGATACTTTACCTACCTATCTATATCTATATCTATATCTATATCTATATCTATAATATAGATATAGATATAGATATAGATATAGATATAGATTCTATATCTATATCTATCTAATTTTAACTTAAACAGAACTGATAATTCACAGAAAAATTATAATCAAATTAATATTAGCCCTCCTAAGACTTGTTCTTATTCTTATTGGCGAAGCATCGCTGTGAAAGGAGTTAACTTATGGAATAGTCTTGACAAAGATATAAAAGAATCAAGTACAAAGAAGGAATTAAAAAAAAATACATAAAATCAAATGCAATGTGTATGTATGAAAAAGAAAACTAAGTTGTTGTGCATAAAAGTGAAGATTTCTGTTCAATTGATTAATAATTGTGCCTGAACTGAAATGTACTGGTTTGAAATGTTTAGAAACCATCTGCGTAGATGGATTGTCTTGAAAAGGGAAAAGGGGGCAGATAACATAAGATGACTCTTCTTTCTGCTCCTTTTCATTCATTTCTTGTACATTTGATGTTGTGACACTGTTGATGGATTTTTTATACTTTATGAATGAAATAACTAAACAAATAATATTTCTGTCGCTTAATCAATTTCACCTCACCAGCTGTGATATGGTTTACTATAGCAGCTGTCACTAAGCTTTTAATCTACTTACAGGACTAATGTGATATATTTAGTCTACTGTATTGTTCAAAAATGAAGGTTGTGGTGGTTCCGTGATGTCGGAAATGCAGAGCAGTCAGACGAGCAGCTTGCCACAAGACACAAAGTGCAACTAACCACAGGCCCCAGCTCAAATACACTTCTCCATTAAAAAAAAAAAAAAAGTATTTTATATGCTGATTTTTTTAGGAATCAGTGAAGCTGATCAATCTACCTACCTATCGAGCTGCTGCATTCAGCACCATGGACAGCAGCCTGTGCATGTGTCGAAATAGCAATACTAAAACGTGTCAGAAAACAGGCACGTCTAAACAGAGGCATGTCGTAATGAAGGTATGTTGGAATAGGCGGTGGACCCCAGGTCATATAGAGTTATTCACAACTGAAAACATCTGTTAGATATTTTTCCCAAATATCATTCAGCCCTAATGCATATTAGGACATCCTAATAATTCTAATGGCTCACGTTTCTGTGCTCACCTTGTAGTAGTGCTGTCCCAATACTAAAATGTCAAACTCAATTTCGATAAAGATACCACAATGATAATATAAACCTTTTTATTCAGACAATAGAATATGATTTTCAACCTTAAATGGTAGAACATTCTTACTGTCTGTGTTTTTATATGTGTGTAATTGTCAGTGGTGCAGTAGGTTCCACAGTGCTCTGTGTGTATACTAGTCTATGTGCTCTTATACTTGTTCTGATACAACTCAAGATAAATCATTCTAAAGCTATTTATTTCTGTCCTCTGAATGGGACCTTTTAATTATTGATACCTGCTTGATACGTGCTCGATACCTGAGTATCAAGTTTGGATACTAGTTTTCGTATCAATTCGTATCTGATTTCCGATACTTTTGACAGTCCTACCTGGTAGTTGGCCATCTCGATGAGTTGCTCCATGTCTTTATCAGGGTGTCTCTGTTTGAGCTCCTTCAGAGTCCTGGCCATGTCCCGCCGTGCCTCGTCCTCCTCGTCCTTAGCCCCGCCCTCCTCCATCAGTCCGTCCGTGCCCTGGCAGTTGAGTGCCATCTGGCCGTCTAACTCCAGCATGTCCATCTTAGTGAATCCGCCCAGAGCCCCACCGTGCAACATGTCCCCGCCTTCAGACTCGATGATAATGCCACGGCTTTTGTCAGCACGGTAACGCTTGCGCACATATTTGTAAAAGAGCAGGCGGCGATCGGCCACCCAGGCTTGGACCACACACAAAGGAAAGCAGAGGAAGGTAAGCACTGCCTCCCACACCTATCACACAAACACAAGTAACAAAAGGGAGGACTCATGTCATGTTTGGTGTATTTTGATCATTTTCATGAAATATCCATTGCACACAACCTGTCCTAAATAAGACACTGGCCAACAAGCAAAGATGTGATTGAATTATATATATTGAAGAATATAATATTAAAAGTGCATAATAAATGATGGTAGGGAAGGTTCAATGTGAATTTTTCTGAGCCGATACCAATATTATGCTTTGAAAGGTTTTGTGAGAATTAAGTGATGTTAGAATGTTGTTACCTCCTTAAAAACACATTATATTTTGATTCATTCACACATGTTTGAGTAACACTTTATTATTAGTCTACATCTCCAAATCTGAAAATGCTCTGTTCCACCTTATGAAGTCATTGTAGTGGTAGTTTTCAAGTTAACAGCTCCTTTAACCTTTAGTTCATTACAGGTTGTATCCTGTATTACCACATGACATCACAAGGTGAAACAGTGTTATCCGTTTTAGAGAAGAACTCTCCTAAATATGCAGGGTTTGTGTGTTAAACATGTGAGTGAACCAAAACTATAGGGGTGTTTTTCATGAAGAAACTATATTATAACATAGATCAGACAATAGCTTAATATGGGTTCTTTAAAAACCATAACAAGGACCAAATTTATGTTAAGTTATAGTGATGTTTACATATTAACTTGTGTAACTTTGCAAATGAATAAGGGGAATAGGGTCAACTGGGAATGGTGCATGGACACAAAGACTGGAGCAGTGTAGAAAAAAATCTGATAAATATCTGCTAAATTGTCCATGAGATCGATACAGATATCTCCGTAAATCTTCTGATATGGGTGATTACTGATAAATCATCCCTAAATAACAGTGCTCACCTCCACCTCTCCAGGTGAGAAGACACTGAGGATGAGGTACAGCCAGATGTAGGCAAAGATGCTCCAGGCGGCGGTGACGAAGAAGACGCGCAGGTGTTTGATTTTGCGTGTCTCTCCATCGGGGACCACGTACACGCACAGGGCAATGATCACAAACATGTTGAACGCAGCGCTGCCCACAATGGTGCTGGGCCCCAGGGCGCCCGCCTCAAAGTTGTGGCCACACACCTGGAGGGAAGACAGGGTCAGAGTGAAGAATGACATTATAAATCCTGAGTCAGAGCAGCAACAGTCACTATGTTCACAAGCACGCCAGGAAAACTGGATAACTGGCCTAGACCAGTTTGAACAGATTTATCGAAATGCATGTAAACCCAGGATCTTACAGTGAGGTGTTGCAGCTCAAAGATCCCAATAACATGTGAGGGTAAGCCGGTATGCACTGTGATACCTGCTGCATGTAACAGTGCAGTCTGATTTACATTAGGAGCAGATAGGAAAGGCATTCAACTGCATGAGGTACAGCCAGGAAAACTCATTTTTATTGATGGGACTTTCGGCTCCTTTATAGGATCCAAATCTTTTGGATTTGTTAATTTAAAAGGGCAGTTAAAAAAATTGCTTTTTATATTTAATTAGGCCTAACTGACAGAAGCCAGTCATTTTATTTAGGCTACAAGCCAATCACAGAGGGAAACAATCAAGGCCCACCAAGATTGATAATAATGGTTCAAAGTGAAAGTGGGAGGCAATTTACCCTTTGAAAATGTGTATATTTTAAATAAAACATTGCACTATAATGATATCAATTTAAAAAAATATCTAGCTCTTCTGTGCACAAAGCTGTCATTTGTGTTGCCTACTCTGCGTGTGAGTTGATTCTTGTCTTGGTTGAGTACCACTAACTGTAAAATGCAGTACTCTTTTAAAAATTAGATCAGATTCCAACCCTTCATGTTAAAGAACAGTTCAGTAGAGCCAACTGGTTCACGAACGCCACATCACAACTCATTTTAGGACAGCAGTGATGACAAACTATGGCCTGTCCAACGGAGAGCAAATAGCACAAAAAGCATGTCTGAAAATGAAATGCTCACCAGAAATGACATCTCACTAGTAATTATAGCTGCAAAGTGCTACGGCTAAACTACTAGACGTCCGCGAACGCCTCATAGCCCCTGTTCACAGATTATGTTCTTTGATCTGCTGTTGACTGGGACTGGGTCTGGAATGGTTTCAGTTTGGTTGGTAAGTGCACAGGGTTTTCCCTGTGCATGTAAACATAGTGGCTGTACCTCACCTCAATCACAGAGAGCAGGATCTCCGGAGCGCTGGAGCCCAGGGCCATCAGGGTCAAGTTAGACACAGTCTCATTCCAGATCCTCACTGTGGCTGTGGTGGTCTCTCCATTGGGTTTCTTTATGGTAATTTCCTTCTCTTGTGAGGTAATCACCTTCAGAGAACAACAGCACATGGAAATGAATCCCTTCATGCATGATTATGTGATTTTGTTAATATGATGTTGCTATGAGGGCAGCAGTTGACTAAAGAAATGTTTGCAGAGAGAGGGCAGCCTAAATATGCAGGGTTCATGTGTGAATGAAACAAAACACAACTTGAGGTATATTATATTTTTGATAAGGAAACAATATATTATAACAGATCAGAAAATAGTGTAATATGAGTCCTTTAGAATGCAGTGACTACAGCAGAACAGAGCACACTGAAAAGGACAAGTATGGTGCAGTGTGCAGACCTCAATAGAAGACATGAAGCGGTCTGCAATGATGCTCATGCCAAGGAACATGTAGATCAGAGCGACAAAGTAAACAATGGCCCGGGCCACTTTGTCCCCCACAGACGGGTTCTGTGGGTTCCACACGGGCAGAACCACACCTGGAACACAATATATGAAAGAGGAACAGCTGTCACAGAACAGCAACAGCACAGTCAAATGTTTTATTTCTACAGACAGAAACAAATACTTCTATTTGTTTTTTGGTCAGTTAGTTTTCTCAACATGGACTATATTGTTGTCTCCTGATGAGAATCAGGAGACAAGATCAATTAAGTGGCAGTTTGTGGGGAAAAGTAGAGAAGAAAAGTAGGCTACAAAAATACAGCAAGAAGAGGGGTGTTCTAAAATAGAATCCCTCTTCCTGTGTCATCAACACGAAAAATCTCATTCAAATACAGAAGAATTTACTCACAAATACAGAAGAATTACCTCTTGGAACTGTATGTTATATCTGTTGATAACCATGTCCAACTAGGAAATACAATGATAAACTTTTTTTTTTATGTAAGAAACTAAGCATGATTGTTGGTTAAAAATACCATTATGTTAACTAGACGTAGGCCTATGTTTTAATCTGAGTAGTCAACTTGTCACATGCACTACAATTCTGAGTTGAGACACAGTGCAGTGTGAAACAGAGGCTGTAGTGTTTGAGTGCTGTGTGTGAGACTGTGAGTGCTGCTGACAATGCCACGTCTCATTAGACTCCTGTCATCTCCCTGCTCTGTCCAGCCCCCATACACACACATGCACACAACCTCTCCACTGCACAGTGTGCAGGCATCCAAAGTCAAAAACAATACATCATATAAATATATTATGAGCCCAGAGATTTCCAGAAAAGGTGACGTTACGATGAGGTTCTAGGTAGATCTGAATGATTTTGACAAAATATCCAATTGCAAATTTTCTGACAGTGGCTGTGAATCAATTTGAGTAACTCAGAGTAGAGCCGCTACTCCTCCACATGGAAAGGAGCAGCTGGAGCAGCTAATTGGAGGGCATCTGTTCCGGATGGCTCCTGGAGAACCAAACACTACAGGGACAGAGACAGGATCACTGAACAGGAGTGTCCAGGTGGAATCTGCTGAACTAGGACTAAGTGGACTGTGACTTTGGAAGGCTGTAGGACACTGTTGTTAAGTACCTGATGTATCTGTGTCATTCTGTGTGTCTTAAAATTTAATTTTAATGTTATTAGACTTGTTCAAACAAGTGTACCCTCAGGCATTAATCAAGAATCCTTGAACCTACTTGTAACCATTCACATAGGGATTTCGATTCAGTTGCGTAGTATGAAATGGCGTGTGTGTGAGTGGTGGTGGTGGTCGGAGGGGTGGATGTTGGAGATTGGCAGCCTCACTTCCATCAGTCTGCCCAAGGGCAATGGGAAAAAATGCTTTACTAAAAGAGCCATGCACAATTTGACTGCAGAATGAGTCCAGTGATGGTTTATAGGCTTAAAAACAGAACAGGGGGAGTCCTGAGATTTTGGATTAAAAAAAGAGTATGACTGAAACAAAAATATGACTCCAGGTATGTTCCCAAAAGTTTATTTTAGATAATGTGTGTTTTTATAAGTAAGTGATGTGAAGTGCTCACCCTCCTGACAGGGGTCTCCAGAGGCGGAGCAGTTCTCTGCAGCAGCATGAGTGTTTGTGGGACAGGACAGGAGCAGCAGGGCCGACAGGAGCAGGAGAGCGGACATCACGCCTGCACAGGCCATCTTCAGTCAGTCCAGACTGCAACACACATACAACAGCAGGTTAGTCCTACAGCCTCCTACCCTCACTTTGGTTTGTTTTAGCATCAGAACTTGAAATAGGGACAGTAATCTGCAAACTAAATCATATTATAATTTCATGCATTTGGTTTCATATAGTAATACCTTTAAAAGAAAAATGAAGCCACTGGACTCAGCTCAGTTCTTCTGTCACTCATAAAAGAATTTGAGTGCTGATTTTATGTCTGACAAGTAGTGAATAATGACATCACTTCCTGAAACTAGTTTCATTTCACTTTAGTTCATATGCTGACAGAGCATTATTTCTGCACATTTTAAATTCATATCCATGCCAAAACATCTGCAGTTCCACCAGTTGTATAATAGTGTGTTCAGTGGTGTGGTAGTGTGTCCGGTGGTGTGGTAGTGTGTCCGGTGGTGTAGTAGTGTGTCCGGTGATGTAGTAGTGTGTTTGGTGGTGTGGTAGTGAGTGGGAGGTATGATTGTGGGTCCGGTGGTGTGGTAGTGGATCTGGTGGTGTGGTAGTGGATCTGGTGGTGTGGTAGTGGATCTGGTGGTGTGGTAGTGGATCTGGTGGTGTGGTAGTGTGTTTGGTGGTGTGGTAGTGTGCTTGGTGGTGTGGTAGTGGGTGGGAGGTATGATAGTGGGTCCGGTGGTGTGGTTGGAGTCATGAAGCGTTTTATGAGGGGCAAAGGCTGAGCACAACACAAGCCCAGATCCAAAATCCTTTATCTACTGCACTTTAAGACCTGAGCACAGCACACTGCACCCGCTCCGACTGCACCCAGACTCCAGCAATTACACCGTGTACCTTTAAAGCTCAGAGTTTAAGCAAAATGAATTCTTGTAAGCTTTAAGCCATGTTATATTGTCACCTCCTCAAAAACAGACCTGGAGTTGTGTTTTGTCGCATTCACATGTGGTTGAGTAACTCTTTATTATTAGTCTTCATGTCTCCCAAGCTCAAAATTTTCTGTTTCTACCTTGTGATGTCATGTTGTGGTAGTCTTCAAGTTCACAGCTGCCTTTTACCTTTTTTTTATCCACGTGAAGGTGTATGGAGTTTAAAAACACAAGGGAGTACTTTCTGTATTACCACAATGTGTTTTCTGTTTTAGAGAAGAACTAAGCTTAAATATACAGTATCTGTGACTCAAACAAACCACAACTCCAGATATTTTTAATGTTGAGGAAATAACATTATAACACAGAAAGAAAATTGGCTAGTATTGGCCCTTTCATTTTTCAGAATAATTCAGCATGTAATATATAATGGTGACCTGATGTAGGCCCAAGGCAGCAGTGTGTGGTTTGTGAGTGATTAAAGAAGTCGTTAAACATGAACCGTAGTGTGTTTTAAGACTCTTTTGATGTTGCCATGGTCATCAAAGGAGCTGGTTTCTTCCTGTTCATTGAGCACCTCGCTGCACCAGGTCAACCGTAGTGTCCACTGCCAAACATGCACCGACCCTTTCAACTGGCATCAAGTCTTTGTAGTCTGTGCCACTCCAACTCAGTCTGTGCCAGTCCATCCAGTGTTAGTGTGCTAGGTCGCTCTCACTTATATTAGGAGTGTTGTTTTGTTCATATATTGTTACAGGTCTAAATGAAAAATGGAACCAAGATTTCTCTGTACTCCCCCATTCTGTGTTTGTCCTCAGTGCACCTTTCTGGTGGAGGGTTTGTCATCTTCTTGCTTTGTCTGGAATGTTCCACAGTATTAAGCACATGTATAGCTCCATGGAGACAGCAGGCCAAGTTAGATTGGTAGAGATTTATGAAGGTTAGGTTTAGATTTATGAAGAGACAAACTCACTTGCAGTAACATTTCAAGGTGTTTTTAGCAACAGATGCAATTTAACATGCAAAAAAGCAAGCTAGATATTGCACATTGCAGGTGAAGCATTAACAACTCCTTGTGGGACAAGTATGGTGGATCTAGATTATTTTTTTATTATTTCTGAACTTAAAGCCACAGCATGTAACTTTGTATCCAAGTAATAGAAAATTAATATTAATAAAGAATGCCTTTTTACATTTTGGTTGTGTTTATTGCTCTGAAAGACATAGGGAAACATGTGTCTTTACTCTGAACAGGCTTGCATCTCCACAAACCTGACTCTTATTTGCCCTGGACTAGCCACCTTTCTTCTAGATTATGGGATAAAACTTAAAACTTATTAAAACTTAAACTCCTATTTACATGGAATCATGCAGGTAACATGTAGAAATGCACCAATTCAGTACTGGTATCAGATATCGTAACAGATATTGAAAAAAATGCTGGATCGGATATCGACTTCCAAATATCATTCTGCCGATATCCTGGTTGGACATTTAAATTGATGTAATAAGACTGTTTACTGGTCATATAGTCTTATACTGTTTGAACTTTTTTTTTATATACATGCAAAACTGTTCAGTTTTGCCTTATTTTATTTTTGAAAAAAATATATGCTGTTTTCAGTCTCTGCTCAGTTGATATCGGGGATCCGTAGATATTTAAAGCCATAGTATTAAAATATCTCACTGTTTTGCCTAGAATGTTCCATAGTATGATTTTATCTTGTCTCTTTGGCGCACATTCAATTACAGGTGTTTTTATAGCTAGAAATATACTGAAAAACATGCATTCTTAACTTCAGCAGTGCCCCCACTCCACAGATCTCACCAGTAACTTGGCCTAGTTGCCTCACCTGCTTGTCTCCATGGAGATGGATAAGTGCAGTACCATTCTGTGGAATATTCCAGGCAAAGCACATGTTCACTGAGATAACACAGTGCACCTTTAATAATAAATTTTTTAAAATGCAAATCGTTTATTATTTTTTGTCATTTTGACTTAATGATTCAGCTGGCAAGTGTTCAGTTAATGATTACCAATTATTCAAATAGTCAACAATTAGTTTAATAGTCAATTAGTCACAATTATTCTGATTAGCAGCACAGGTGGATGTGAGATTCCACAGGCTCTGGGGGGACAGTGGACATGGCTCAGGACAAGACAGTGGGTCTAAGCAGTTTTATACTCTCATGTCCACGTGCATGCCCCCATATCCACGTGCACCCTCCCATCTCCACGTGCACGCTCCCATGTCCACACGCACCCTCCCATCTCCACGTGCACACTCCCAGTCTCTTCATATCAGCCATCATGCCCACATATTACTGTCACTGCTCATTAGAACCCTTTGACCCTGTTTGGCTGATGTTGGACTATTCACGCCCACAATAATAAAACCACAAAGTTCTCTTCAGCTGAACATCATTCCACCAAAGACATTTTAGTCTTAACTGCTGAAGCAATCACAAACTACTAAAGCTTTCCCAGAGGTTTATGGGTTTCAAACCTTCGTATAAGTTGGGGTTTTCTCTGTGATTCAACAATCCGAGCATTGTACAGTTCCATCCATATAATTAAAAGGAGCAGTTAACATATTAAATTGTATTGTTTCTTCTTAAAAATATATAAAATCCGTGCCACACAAAAACAGTCCATTTATTCTTGTAAGTCTGAACTAAAGCCCGTGCTTTTACTGATTCTGCATTAAACGCCCTACACTGACCACTGACCAGAGGAAGCTCCATCTCCATTTGATTCAATGTGATGAATTGCTCCGCCCTGAGCACTGACTTGACCTGGCGACCTTGTCTGAAGCTGATGCGTCATGTGACCTATAGCACACACAGACCAGGGGAGGGGATGATGTATGCACTGCCTCTATGGATGTGCTATATGTATGTATGTGTATATGTATGTATGTGTGTATCTGTGTATGTGTGTGTATGTGTGTGTGTGTGTGTATGTGTGTGTGTGTGTGTGTGTGTGTGTGTGTGTGTGTATGTATGTATATATGTGTGTGTGTATGTATGTATGTGTGTATGTGTGTATGTATGTGTGTATGTGTATATCGGGGGTCTCCAAACTTTTTTCATCAAGGGCCACATATCTAAACACAGACGCAGCAGAGGACCGATCGAGGGCCGTAGACCGGTGCTCAGTACAGGGAATAATTGAAATATGTGCATGCTTAACATGTTAAAATGAGCCATCAGACTTCATGTTAAGATCCTTAAAACCACACACTAAATATTAAATATCGACTTTATCAAGGTAGATTTTCAAAACCTTGCAGTAAAAAAATATTCTTTAATTGATGCAAAGTAATTTGGGCCAATTCACCTGGAAGTCTGAGGGCCAAGAAAAATGTGTCTGAGGGCCGCATTTGGCCCCCGGGCCATTTGGACATGAATGGTGTATATGTATGTGTGTATGTGTATATGTATGTATCTGTGTATGTATGTGTATATGTATGTATGTATGTATGTGTGTATGTGTATATGTATGTATGTATGTATGTATGTATGTATGTATGTATGTATGTATGTATGTGTGCATGTGTGTATGTGTATATGTATGTATGTGTGTATGTGTGTATGTGTATATGTATGTATGTGTGTATGTATGTATGTATGTGTGTGTATGTATGTGTGTATGTGTGTATGTATGTATGTATGTGTGTATGTATGTGTGTATGTGTGTATGTATGTATGTATGTGTGTGTATATGTATGTGTATGTATGTGTGTATGTGTATGTATGTGTGTATGTATGTATGTATGTATGTGTGTATGTGTGTATATGTGTATGTATGTATGTATGTATGTGTGTATGTATGTATGTATGTATATGTATGTATGTGTGTATGTATGTGTATGTATGTGTGTACGTGTGTATGTATGTGTGTATGTAGGTGTGTATGTATGTGCGTATGTATTTATGTATATGTATGTGTGTATGTATGTATGTGTGTATGTATGTGTATGTATGTGTGTATGTATGTATGTGTGTATGTGTGTATGTGTGTATGTATGTATGTATGTATGTGTGTATGTGTGTATGTGTGTATATGTGTGTGTATGTATGTATGTATGTATGTATGTATGTATGTATGTATGTATGTATGTATGTATATGTATGTATGTGTGTACGTGGGGT